GGTATCGTGAATTTTTGGTTGTAATTTGGAGCACTTTCCCAGAAATTGAAACACTTTGTGTTATAAAACAGCCGCTCAAACGGAATCTTGAATAACTGGGTAGTAATATTTGTTTAGGTAAATTTGTACATTTTATATATGGTGAAATTTAGAACCGTTATTACTCCGAAACACTTTGTTTCGATTTCGATTGAAACGAGTTTCTACGCTTTTGCTGTAGTTATTCCACCACATCCAGACCTATTGGAATTTAGGTTTGTATCTTATAAGTGGCAAATTTGAGAAACTGTTAATGAAGAGTGATGTGGCAGACAGGGTTGAATAACAGCTAATGGACTCAGTGAAACAAAGTAAAATATAGGTAAAATATAAAATTTTTCAAAATCTTAAGTACTACAGGAACGCTGACAACAAGGCTATATGGTCTACCAAACGTCGCATGCCCCCATCGACCTGTTTTAGATATGAATAATTCGACCTATTATAATATAGCCAAGTGGTTAGTACGAATTCTCAGACTATTGCACAGAGAATTTTTTTTGGTATCGTGTCGAGGATTCGTTTAAATTTGTTGATTATACAAGAAATCTGTTCACCAAAAATAACGTCATGGTACTGCTTTATGTATCGTCCTTATTCACCAGCGTTCCCCTACTTGAAACTCTGGATTTTATTTTCAGAGAACTAATATATAGGTACATAGGAACCTTGATTCGCGTATCCACAACGAAACAGTTGATTCTTGGATACACGATGAATGTCCACTTCCAAGTCGACAATGAATACTATAGACGATTGAATGGTGTAGCCATGGATTCACCATCGTGGATTTGATAGGACCCTTACCCGATTCAAATGGATACTCATATCTCTCAACCTGCGTAAACCGCCTGAAGCAGTACCCATTAAGGACAATACTGCTGAAACGGTGGCTCGTGCCTTCGCCGATCGGTGGGTAGCGAATTTCGGCTGCCCTTCAATCATCATTACAGACCGCGGACGCCAGTTCGAATCTTGACTTTTCCGTCGTCTGACCTCACTATTAGGAATCATGCGCTTCCGGACGACTGCCTACCACGCACAAGCAAACGGTTTGGCAGAACGTTTTCATCGACAACTGAAAGTTTCACTATCAGCTACAAACGTTCCACAGTGAACAGACGCTCTTCCACTCGTCTTAATAGGTATCCGCAGTGCAGTGAAGGTTGACATTGGATACACTGCATCACAACTCATTTATGGAACAACAATCCGACTCCCAGGAGAATTCGTAGATCCTTCGTCTTCCTGAATGAACATGGATCTAAACTCCTACACAAGCAGGCTTACAAACGCAATGCGTTCAGCTAAACCTGCTTACACTCGATCGTAATCAGCTGACGTTTTCGTTCAACCTGACTTACGACATAGTACACATGTGCACATGTTCTATTTTTTTCTTTTCCAGGACGGCTGGGAAAGAACGATGAAGTTTATAAATTGCCGAGATCTTGATTGTACTTTGTTTTACGATTACTATTCTGTATTTCATGGTTCGTTATAGTGAGGAAAGAAGACTACATGCTGCTAATTATAGCAAATTATCAGAATAGTGTTTACCAACGACAAACTCGTTGGGTTTAAACCTCTGGCTGGCCACGCCGTGGGAGCATCACTACCTCATTGGGATGAAGTGATTTGTAGCTGTAAATAATTCTCCAAAATCAATAGCTCTGTAAGTGTTCGACATTGGATACTGACCACATTAGTTTTAGTGGACTCATTTAGTTGAAGGCGCTCGGTCACGCATCCGTACCAGGCCACGTTACGGATCGGCGTGAGAAACATCTCCTACAATCACTAGTCAGATTAGATCAGTCAATTCTTGATATATTGATAACCCATCAAATATATCTTCCAACCTCCTCGCTTCTGACTTCTGATTTAAACTGGGTGGGCGCGATTCGACCATAGGTGTAACTGATAAAGAGTTGTCAAACTACAATGCCGGTGGTATCTTCAGTCACCTGCTTAGTGGGGGTGGATACCCAACGGAATTCATCAGCAAATACATGAAAGAGACGAATAAAAGACCGAATACATTTGCCATTCAAAAAAGTACATTAAATTCAGGCTGACTGAATGCCGTTTTCTACTATCGCTCAATAGTAGAAACCGTTAATAATGACAGACTACCTGAGTACTCCACGTCTATGTGTCTTTATCAATTCAACTGCTTCTGTGCAGCCAGTTGTATGAAACGTACAACTCGGCAAGTCTTTCACTGCATATTAGAACACCATCCCTCTTGGTTGAACAAAGGGAAGATAAGAATGATTAAGATTTCCATTGTCGCTCACTTGGTGGACAAAGGTCATCAAGGTGACTATGCATATACATCTAATACATACTGATAATCTCTCGCACTTCATTGAGACTTTCATAGCATCATCCAAAACTATGTCTGCACGCACAAATACTTATTCTAACGTCAAATATTACCGAAATAATAACTTATTTACTTATTAATTTATTTTGTTTTATTTTATTTCTATTACTCATTTTGCGATACATACATAGTTGTTTATTCTTGTTCTGTGTTAAGCTATTTACGTAATCCGCGTCTCCTTTATTTCTACATCTTTAGTTTCTTCCTTTCCTCCTTCAAAATCTATTCAAAATTCTTGCCAATTACGCAGAACCTGATTTATTATTACTATTCTATTATTAATATTTTATTTTTCCTTCCTTTTTCAAACATGGCAAATGTAATGCTAACATTATTGAAAACTGTGTATTATTGCATTTTTGAAGAAACCCGAAATGGTTTCTTCACAGCTCTTATGTACCCATAAGATGTTTGTGGATAATAATAAAAATGTTAAAGCTACCCATCGTATTCTATCAAATTTACCACACGGTTTACTCGCTTATCTTTTGCACATTGCTGCAGCCGTTGGAGTTCATCTTGAAAAGCCAAGTCTTTGCATCTAATAGTAGCTTGTACAAGTACTCATGCTACCTTGTCCATCGGTATAGAAGTGAGTCTGCAGCCGGACTTCTATGAAACCCTTTCCCCCAAATCATTTTAGCTGTATTCTTCTTTCAACTTTTGTATTTTACATATCCTTAACATTTACCCCTTGATTTTTACATAAATACTATAACTTCAACCTCTCATCAAAATGTTTTGTTGGTTCCTTCTTATATATTATGCAACGTAGCAACGTTTGATTTTTCGAATAGTCACTTTGATCATTATGATCCTATCCCTTCCAATTACCCAATATTGTTTTATAATTGTAAATGCTCAATGAGTATTAGTTCATTGCTGTGAAACATACATATATATTAGTGCAAACGCAATACGAAGAAGTAACTGAACGGAAATTTCTTCGCTCGATCTGTTCTTTTACCAAACCTCGAAGAGGGAATTTTCACTTCTTAGACTGTAGGCCGGCACCAAAGAAAGAGAAAGATACAGTTGTCTCTTTGGTCTTCAAATGGAGAGGTAAAAAAGACGTCAGATGCCACGGGCCACTAGCGCTACTTTTGGGACCTCCAGAGTTACTAGATAGTTCGGTGAACGACTAAATAAAGGGGGCTACAAACGTCTATAGACTTTTTTTATGAAGAGTTTGGACAAGACGGAGCCCGTATATGAAGTACTTGAATGTTTCCAAAGCTTTTAATACTATGCCACACTATTCTACTGGTTAAATACGGGAGACTATAGTTAGAAGGTCCTCTTTATTCTTGGATAAGAAACTACCTGCAGGGTTGGATATTTTGCAACTGAGTTAATAGGATAAGGTCATGGTTTGTGGCTCCACGTGGAGCCAGACGTTTTGCTTTAATACTCATCACTGATCTTCCAGTAAACTTCGGTTACTCAGTTCACATATACAGAGACGATATCAGACTTCGCAGAGCAGTTAGATGCGAAAGTGATTCACTTGAGCACCAAAGAGATCTAATCCTTCCTGTAGAATTGGCTAACTGGAATAATTTAAGAATCAGTCTTCAAAGACATCTGACGACAATATTTCGGATTGCAGAGGAGGACCATGACAACCAATTACTCTGTAGTCACCACCTAACCAGTATCTTGACAGGGCTCATTTCAATACTTTCACCAACAGAAAGTTCGGACACCACCAACGACTATCAGGGGAATCAACCCAAAACCTACGTATATATCCACCTCGACCTAAGGCAATTAGGTACACTGACCTTTGACCCCTTTCTAACAATGTCGATGACCTTCATCCGTCCATATCTCGAAACCCTGAACATTGTGTTGCATGTTCGTAAGTCGGGATCACCAGTTATGTTGTGAGTTCGTACGCAGAGGTTGTCGATTCTGGTCCATGTTCGTTCGGCGAGGCATCCAATTCTGTAGCGTCGTGCTCGTACGGCGAGGCCTCCAATTCTGTTGTCTGCGAAAAATCTGATTCTGTCTATACTCGTATATAATAAATGACTTTATCCGCGTTGGTGAACAACGGAGTTAAATACGTCAAATACGAGAATAGATTTAGAATACATATAATTTCTACACTCATTGGTCTGGCCAGGGAATCAGAGTGATGAGGCGAATAGATGAGAGCGGAACGAAGCAAAAATCATGCGCAATGGAGATGGCTGGGTAGCCAACTCGATTTAAGCAAGCGTTAATCAACATTTATAGTCGGACAAAAATGAGTGAGACATATGATGAATAAGATACGAAGTGTACACATATACGCTTATATAAAAATATAGTCAAGGTTTATAAGCAAATGATTAACAAGATCAAAATATGACTCATAATGGATAGGCGAATTGGCTTGGCCAGTAGCTAGGATAAAGTATATGGGCTTAACAAATAAACTGATACTACAATTGTCACATCCACTCTACACACAGAGGATATAAATATCCTGGAAGGAGCACACAGATGCATCTTGAAGTGAGTCATTGGGTTAGCACAGAAAGTACCTTCTGACTAGACGTGAACCGCTACCAATATGAGCTAACGACTTAGATATTGGATATTGGAATCTCAAGGACGTCTTGTGTGAAAATGATTCCTGAGGTTATGGCGCTTTCGGCTGTCTCTTTGCATTTAACATGGAATTTTTATCTAATGAGACCCCTTTACGCACGTAGGTGAACATTTATTGTTGGTTTCCCACGACACTAAATCAGTCATTCAGTTTCATGAGTCTAACAATCGTTATCCTAATGTTTCGACGGCTCGTGATTTATGAAAGCAAATAGTTCAGCAACAAGCTACTCGTATAATTTCTCTTCGATAATCCTATTGGATCTTTGGCGCAACGTTTCACGATTAGTTCCTAACTAAATTTGTTACTTGAATTTTGACTGACCTTAATTTAGATTCAGAATTGTGTAGTAAGAACAGAAGGCTTACGGCTCATGTTATTTCTTTTCTAGTATGCTTCTATGAGTGTCTAGTCTTCTCTTAAGTGAGTCATTTGAGGGTGAGGACTCAACTGCTTCGGTCAAAAGGTCCCAAGATTTGATAACTCGCTTTAGAAACATGTATGCCACTGGTATTCTCTTCGTTATTAGATTTTCTACTCGTTACCTATATCCTTTCGTAGGAAGAAAGGGAGGATATTATTAGGTGCGAAATCATTTTTCAGTATTCTGTACGTCAGAACCAGACCACCTCTTAATCTGCGGTAGGACAGAGTAAATAGGTCTAACTTTTCAAGCCGCTCTTTGTGTGGTAAACTCTGAAGTTCTAAAATTGCATGAGTGGCTGCCCTCCGTACTTTTTACAGTATATCCGAGTCCCTTTTTAAACGCACTTGCAGCTTCAACTCAGTTTCCAAGTTTAATTCTCACTAAGGTTGTGTATTTGTTTCGGTTTGGGCACCCAGGTAGTATCACATTCCACACACAAATTAAGTGGCGCATGTGTATTCCGTGCAACGTTGTACCAATACTTATGTGTTCAAATAAGTAAATAAATAAATAAAGGTTGTGTATAACGTACTGAACATAGTATCTAGCTAGATGAATGTCCGTCTTAAAGCTCACAGGGTTCCAAACCCCTTAGCTGCAACCTCGCGGCAGTGGGCTGTGGTCTTAGGATCATGGCTCACTGTCACCCCAAGATCTTTGTGAGACTGAACTACGGGTATAGGCACTTCCCCTATGCTGTGCCTATTTACCTTTGTATCTCCAAAGTGCATGTAGACACACTTAACCGCGTTGATAGCTATCAGCCATTTTTCAGACCAGTTAGTAAGAGTGTCTAAGTCCGCTTGAAGTGCACATGCATCTGCGTCTCCTGTTATTTCTCGCCGGATTTTTACATCAGCGTATAGTAGCATTGAGGACTGTGGCTGGGAGTTCATTTACACATAGTATGAAAAGCAAAGGACATAGGACAAAGCCTTGCGGGACTCCACTAAGTACTGGTTTCTTGGTGGAACACTCGGGATTTATTCTTACTTCCTCTCTACGACCTACCAAGAAATCCTTAAGCCATTTTAGGAGAAATCCGGCAATGCCTAGATTTTCCAGCTTTAAGAGTAGTGTGATTCGCTGTTTAACAAGTTGTTGGTTTCCACGAATGTCATTATGGTCTTTCTGATCATTCTTTCCAGTATTTTAACTGCGACACTGGTAAGGCTGACAGGTCTGTAGTTTGATGGAAGTTGTTTTGATCCTTTTTTATGTATTGGAGTGACAATTGCATCCTTCCAACAAATAAGCAACTCACATTGCCCAAGTGACATATTGAATATCGTAGTCAATGGGGCAACAATATATTGTGCAATTTGTCTCGAAACTTTAAAGTGTAGTTCATCCGGTCCTATTGACTTCTTTGTGTCTAAAGTACTAAGGGCCTTAAGTACATCGATTCGATCGAAGTCCACAGTGAGCAGACGTGTTTTGACTTTGTATTTAGATCTAGTTATTCGTCTAAAAGATTCTCCTGAGTGAAAACTGTCCCGAAATAGTCTGCCGTAGCCTCTGCATTTTTTCTGATCATCTATCATTTGAGATCCAACCCCTTCCGTAATTAAGTTTGGAATCCGAATTTGCGTCCTTGTTCTGTAATTTATGTGTGAGAATAGTCTTTTAGGCTAATTTATTACAGATTGGACCAACTACTTTTCATATTTTCACTGAGCTTCCCGTATTGTACTTATACACTTATTTCGTATCGACCTGTATCGTTTAAAGATATGTAAATTTTACCCAGTAATATGGTAGCCAATAATATGGCTGTCACGAGCTTATTTTTGTTCTGATGTTTTTGTGCACTCCATTCGGTTAACCGAAATCCCGTAAGCATACGTATAAATGTGATTGGAGACCTCGTTGACATTTATCTGGCTTGTAGCAAGCGAAAAATCGAAAAGACTGATTCAGATTTATGTTTCCCTTCTTCAATCCAGGTAGCCATACATTCGAGATGTTATGTCGACAATCTTTAACATTAAGCCGGTTACAACGAATCGTAGTGTTGGCTATTTTGACCAGAAACTGTCATTCTGTTTAAACTATATTAAGACATGCCCCAGTAAACGTAAACCATCATTTAATAGACGAAGCTAGTCATCGTATGGCAAATGTTAGTGGCTTGTAGTCTGAGATACTTCTAATTGCTACATTTAGGTCCTACACCTTTAGATTTCGGTATTTCCCAGGATGTCCGGTTACCACTGTTTTTATGTTTTACACTTATTTAACGTTATAACTTAGTCCTGAGGCTCATGTTTAGATACGGTAAAGAACGTTATCTTGTTGCAAAACCATCCGGAACTAATAACTTCGGTTGCTTCTGTTTTTAAAAAAGAGAAACTTCTCAGGGTCTTAGTAAGACTTCAATGTTTTATTGTTGTTGTATCCTGTCCACATCTATTCCTCAAGAATATTGTTGTCGTATGTTCCAGGGCCTTCATTATGCCAAGTTTTTATGTTTTGACTAATGAGAGTTTGTTCAGTAAAGTTCTTATCAACGAATTTGTTCTACATATGCAGTCAATCCTTAAGAATATAATAAAGTATTTGTTGTATGGTTCGTTTCAATAATCCCAGTCATGTATCTTTTGAGTTTTGTGGTAACATACCCATTATTATTACTGCCACTAACATTATTATAACTCACTAAATGTTCATAATTTTGGTACACAGTGGTCACCGACTGTTTTTATTTATTTATTTATTTGAACACAAATATTGCCTGCTTCAGTTTGGGCACCTGGGCAGTATCCCAGCCCTCACACAAATCAAATGTGATTTGTGCGGCGAATATGTATCTGGTGCTTCCCTGTACCAATATTTATGTGTTTAAATAAAATAATAAAATAAAATAAATACACAAATATAGGTGCAAAGGGGCACCAAATACATATGCGCCACACAATAACAATGAGAATGTGAAGAGAGAGAATTTAAAGTGCGTATAAGAAAAAGAAGAACAATAACAAACAGAAATTATTGTATGAGAGTAAAATAATAATAATGGGAGAGACAGTTCAGTTAACAAAAATGCAACCAGAAAGAACTCTTCTAGTTAAAGAAGTTACGTTCATTTTTTTATGAAGTAAAGGAAAGTTACAACAGGATCGTCACTGGCTTCTATTCTAGCAACTGGATTAAGAAAAGTCCGATGAATAAAATAATCCAAAGTAAAATCACAGAATATATACTAATACTATGCCGTCCTTGCTATGTCTGTTCAGTTAGGTAAAAGAAATAAACGGAAAGATTATTAATTATAATTTTGAATCATTTTTGGCAATATTTCAAGCCATCCGGTAGCATTATTTTCTGGGCCTCATCCAAAAAGTCACCACACAACGACGGTTGCTTATCCACTAAAGTTACTCATGGTTTCACCACAGAAACTGATTACCTTGAATGTCTTCCAAATGGTGCAAGCTTCATCAAACAATGATTATCACGGTATTCACTAGAATATGCACCTGCTGTGCAAAACCTAACATAGCTATGGCTATAAACTATGATTCCGCTAGTATATGCATTACCACTCATTAAGATTATGACGTTCATATGTTCCCCTCGAGCTTTATTATCACCTATCGTACCTGTCGATGTTTCACAATGTCTTTAAAGAGATACCAAAAGGAAATTCGAGAGAGTAGATTGTTCGCAATGTATTGTGCTAATATATCACAGTTCTGATAATCTTCATCTTTTTATTACACTATCGAAAGTAGATAACCCTTTCCAGCTGGACCCCAAGTTTAAAGTAATCAATACAGAAATCAGCATTGGAAGTTTTTTAGAAGTTGGGCAACCGCGTTAGTGTAAAATGATATTAAAGCGAAAATGGACCGTCAAAATATTGATAGTCAGGAATTAAATATACAATATTTTCTTTTAGTCAAATTTATACGATGTTAATCACGAAATATCTAGATGTACACGGAATAAAAAGTGTTTGAGAGTCTTCATGCAAACTATTCAGCTGGATTTTTATCAACAGGCTAATGTTTTGGAATCATTTTGTTATAGAAACCAATCCAATTAATTTTTGTCCCCTTCATGAAAATTCCTAAAAAATGTAATAAAGCTTTTCTTAAGTTTTCTGTTGGTAAAATTCAGTTTAAAACTGTTAGCTTTACATAAAAAACTCGTCATTTATCCTAGATCTTTACCGAGCAGTTCTTTGGGGAAGTGGTGCTTACATAATTTCTCGTGAAGTACAAAGAGCGTTCCACAAAAAGAAAGTGGCTCATCTCAAGGCTATCGATATCTATAAATCTCAATTTCCAGATAGAGTTCCTGTAAAATGTAAGTTTATTTTCTGCCTATACTAATTATTGTACATTTCTATATCGTAAATTTTTTATATTGTCTAATTTGGAAGGCTTTTTTATTATGTATTTGAACTGCTACTATCTTCAAGTCAGTAACGCAAAAGTTTGATATTTTTTGTACTTTTAATCTGACTGTTTCACTTATTTCCCGTTGGTATGCATAGGTTATGTTTTCAGAGAATTTATAGATATTCATGCTAACAGTAGTAGTTATAACTTAGCGTTCATCGGTAAACGAGCATTACTAAATTCTAATAGATCAAATTTTATAAGTGTCCTACACGATGTGTTGTTTAACCATTCGGAACAATTAGTTTTGAGCATTCAGTAGTCTTTTAGTCACGTACTTTACAGACTGGAAACACGGTCGTTAAAGTCCAATCCTTTGAGTTTTCGAAAGTACTAATTTACCGATCAAATATTGGCACTACTAAACTGATAAAGGTTCACAGAAAGATTTTTCAGTCATAAATAATGAATACCTCTAGGTTGAAGCCTCAGAAAACGGCCCCCTAAGTAAACCACCCGCTCCGGTTTGGGCATCCGGACAGTATCCCAACTTACACACAAATTCAATGATTTGTATAGCTCATACATATTTTGATGCTCCTTTGTACTAATGTTTATGTGTTTAACTAGATAAAAAGCAAGAATAACGGTGTTTGCAGAATATGACATGGATTCACCGTATTTCATTGCTTTTTTCCCAGCTAGATTCACTTTTACATAAAGCTTTCTGAACTTCTTCATAGAGGTAAACTCTCAAACATAGAACTTATAACAGGTGACTTTAATGCCCAATTAAGCAGCTTAAATCAAACAGGAAGACATTTAGGTGGGTATTTTAGTATTCCGGCTCAGCGAACAGATAATGGTGATCGTCTGTTGCAACTGTGCTCATAAAATCGTTTATTTTTAGCAAGCACTAATTTTAAGCATAAGGAGAGACATCGTCTAACACGGCGACCACCTGCACCAAACCAATGATGGACTCCAATAGAACATATTGCCATCAGTCATCGTTGGAGAGCCTCGATAGGAGACTGTCGCTCGTTCTGGAATACTTGTTTGGACTCCGATCATGCTCTAATACGAGCATGCATTTGCTTGCGCCTCATTAGACGCAGAAAAGCCACATTAAGAAGATTCATTAAAGTTGAACTCAGTGATGGGGGAGCCAAATGTAGATTCCAGGAACAACTGAGGTCACACTTAGATAGTTCTGAAAACGAGGCTGACCCAGATATTGCTTGGAAAGATATACGAACAGCTATAGAAACAGCATCGATATCTATTAGTGATTTGAACCAAAGAGTGACGAGGAACCAGTGGATTTTTACTAAGTCTATTGCACTGATGGATTCTCGTAAACTCATTCCATCAGGCACTGAACACGATGAAGAGCGTAAACAAATCAAATCTAGGTTAACCAAAAGTCTAAGGAACGATCGTGAGCAGTGGTGGGAAACGAAAGCAAAAGAGATGGAAAAGGTAGTGAGTGTAGGTAACGAGACAACTGGAATTAGGAAGTTGAGTGCAAGTGAGACGATCTCGTAGAAAGACGACACTATTATCTACTCTCAGCCCAGACGTTTAGGATGATGGGCGGAACAGTCTAAGGAGCAGTTCATCTTGCATTCAGCTACTCTAAAACTACCTACCATTCCCAGACAGTCTGAATGGAACATTAAAGTAGGCCCACCAACTCTAGCTGAAGTTCAGAAGGCTATAACTAATCTGAAATGAGGAAGGGCAGCTGGTTCAGATGGATTGGCTCCAGAGGTCTTTAAGTATAGTGGTCCAGCTTTAGAGATTAGGTTGACTAATATTTTGGCTGAAATCTGGGAGTCGGACATAATCCCATCTAACTGGTCACAACCCCTGATTGTCCCAATACATAAGAAAGGGCCAAAATCATCTTACCATAACCATAGAGGGATTATTTTGACTGATATAGCATCTAAAATACTAGCATTAATAATTATCGGGCGCCTAACAAAGGCTCGTGAACTGAAAACAATAGAAAATCAGGCTGACTTCAGACCTGGTCGTGGCTGTATCGACCACATATTCACTATCCATCAGCCGGTGGCGAGCCTGCTGTAACCTTCTTTCTCTTCATAAAGAGTGGTTATAACTTTCTTAACTGAGAGAGTTCTTCTGGTTGTACACTTCAGTTCCCCCCATCATTACTCTTCTCTTTTTTTCATCATTTTTCCCTTCCTTTATGTATACTCATCTTCCAGCTTTCTCCTCCCATTCTCATTATTTTGTGTGGTGCATATGTATCTGGTGCCCTTTGTACCAATATGTATGTGTTTAAATAAATTAATAAGAGAAGGGAGTATTCGTAGGCTACTAGTATTCGATCATAGGTGTCTTCGAAGCATTGCTCGTATATCCTGGGACCACCGAGAAGTAATGCAGTTGTTAGGAAACGGGTACTAGGTAAGGAATGTATATCAGTTTATGAAGTAATGAAACTCCGTCAGTTGAGATGGCTGGAACATGTGTTACGTATGCCCAAACACCGACTGCCCTGACGTGCAATGTTTTATGGCGTAAGATTAGGTTGGAAGAAAACTAGGGGCGGCCAGACCAAAACGTGGCACATATCCATGAAGTCACTGACAAGTGGACTGAGCCATGTTGATAGGTGTTGACTACCTGTTTTGGATCCGCAAGATAATAGCAATCGATCTTGAATGACATGGCTCAAAATCGTTCGCAATGGCGTAGGTGCATCCACTCTTTATGTTCTCCCGAATTCTAATCTTCTAGATTCTCCATGTCTATCTTTTTCTCTTTCCAAATTTATTTCACTGGATTATACTCCTTCAATAACATCTTCAAACCCTAATCTTTCCGATTACTACTTCTACCACTATGGGATTTGAATCGACAACTGCATCTCTGTGTTAATGTGGTATTGCAACTCGTACTGATTTGCGTTGTGACTGACTGACTGAAACTACAAAGTCCATTATATCCTCAGAAGCATATGTTCTTCGAGATGTGTTCAATAAACAGTGTAGACTTTAGTCTTTATGTCTTTTCAGTGTGTATGTAAGTTGATATAAGTGGCTTATGGTGGTGACGTGTATCTGTCTACTTTTTTTGTGTAACAAAGTTTGTGTTATGAACACTGATAACAGTTTTGCTACAAAAATGATCTTTTTAGAGCTACATTGTCTTTTATTTCATCCGTAACGTGATCATATTTGAACGCATTTGATCAGATTTGTAAACTCCCATCTTATTACGGTGTGCGGTACTACATATCTTTATAAAGGCCCGAGGGTATCCATTTCTTTCATTGACAATAATCTGTCGCCACATACGCGAGATTCCATAACCCTGCAACTTAGAATTCGCAGGGAAAAAGCCATAAAATATTAAATATTATCTACTCCACTTTCCTTTTTGAATAAGATACACACCTTCCATGTTCCTCCGTGAATTCGGTAATACAATGGACTGTATTTAAAGTTTCGAGTATCTTATATACATGATTTATGTCGTTGAAGAACAACGAAACAGGTAGGTAGAACACTTCAAAGAACTCTTGAATCGACCAGCTCCACTGAACCCACCCAACACATAAGCAGCACCCACAGACCTCCCAATCGATGTTGGCCCACCAATAGTTGAAGAGATCAGCATGGCCATTAGACAAATCAAGAGTGGCAAAGCAGCGGGACGAGACAACATCCCGGCGGAGTCACTGAAGGCAAAAGTAGCAGCAACTGCCAAGATACTCTACATCATCTTCAGTAAGATTTAGTATGAAGAACAAGTACCAAGAGACTGGAAAAAAGGACTTCTGATCAAGATACCAAAGAAAGGCGATCTTAGCAAGTGCGACAACTACAGGGGCATCACTCTCCTCTCAATACCAGCAAAAGTCTTCAACAGAGTATTGTTAAACAGGATGAATGATTCCGTAGACGCCCAATTTCGAGATCAACAGGCTGGACTTCGTAAGGATAGATCGTGCACAGATCAAATCGCAACTCTACGTATCATTGTGGAATGGAATTCATCACTGTCCATCAACTTCATTGACTACGAGAAAGCATTTGATAGCGTGGACGGGACAACACTATGGAGGCTTCTTCGACACTACGGCGTGCCTGAGAAGATAGTCAACATCATACGGAACTCCTATGATGGACTAAACTGCCAAATCGTCCACGGAGGACAACTCCCGACTCGTTTGAAGTAAAGACCGGTGTTAGGCAAGGTTGCTTACTCTCACCCTTTCTCATTCTCCTGGTGATCGACTGGATCATGAAGACGTCAACATCTGGAGGAAAGTACAGGATAGTGGACAGGTAGGATGCAGCTGGACAATTTAGACTTCGCGGATGATCTGGCTCTTCTATCACACACGCAACAACAAGTGCAGGAGAAAACGACCAGTGTAGCAGCAGCCTCAGCAGCACTAGGTCTCAATATAAACAAAGAGAAAAGCAAGACTCTCCGATATAATGCAATATGCACCGATCAAATTACACTTGACGGAGAAGCTTTGGAAGATGTGGAAACCTTTACATATCTGGGCAGCATCATTGATGAACACGGTGGATCAGATGCAGCTACTATTCTGAGATTTGACCTTATAACATAACTTCATCACCCTCTGCTCATGGGGTGTGGTTACATGTACCGATGTACATACGTACAGGTTCTAGGTTGTGACTGACTGATTTCGGAAGGCCGAATGCATTAAGACGTATTGGTAACAGAATTGCCTTGTTTTTAAAAACCATTTCGAACTACCGTCGTTCTTCAAGGGTGGAATTATTTATTAGCATCAGAGGGACTTGAGTCGTTCGATATATAGGACTTCGTAATTGTACCCAAGTATGACTGTTTTAAGTCGGTATTAAACATTTTTTTAAATGATCTCACCTTTCAGCAGACTACAGATATTTTATCTTTATCTACCATTTTTACACAATCAATAATATATCTAATATTTACATTCAATTATTTGTATTTTTCTTTGCCTATAGTCTATCCAACATTCGGTGAAATAATCAAACCATGGAAGCCACTACGCTGATTGTTTTTTCGACAATCATAAAAACTTTTAATATCTCATGTAATTAGTTTGAAATTGTGAATAGATCCATTGTTCAAAATATTCCTTACTCAGTTAATTTTCCTTTGTCGTTGTTTTGATGTGATAAAGACGTGACTTAACTTATGGAACATCCTACAGCAAGCTTGATTTAAGTTTAATCAGCCTTCCCCCAATTGGTTTACGGTATACAAAGCGCGCATAAGTAAATTTAGCCATCTGGCTGGTAATATTTTGAGCTAGCTGGACATTTTCTAGTTATTCAAAACATCGTCTCTAGCTTCAGATGCAGGCACTCACGGAACCTCATTTAGTCAAGTTGGGAATGTAAGAATCTGAGAAAAATGAATAAACAATTTTCAGAAATCGGTATAATATGAGTAAACAGCTAACCGATAAAAAGTTACAACTCCCACAGACTTTCAATTACGATTAAATGTATAAGCGCTATCCACTTCTAGACATAATTACTACACCAGATAATTGAATGTCACTTCATAATATTGTACTAGATAACTCATTATTGCAACGTGGAATAACCAACATGGCTTCCATAATTGTTCGACACCTTTATACGTGAAGCGCAAACATCCTCATCAATAGTAAATAACTGAGTTGTACGAAACATGAAGACAACTCACACTTGCACTACTCTCCTTCACTCCAAACTCCCAATCGTCATCACCACAGCTGCTTCAAATTAACAATACGAACAACAAAACAGTCACATTCCACTGACAACCCAACACACTCCACACACATCTCAAACAATACTCTACTTCCAAACAACCAGTCTCTCCTGTGTAAACACACAATCACTCGTCTCCTATTACACAAATACAAAGTCCTATCAAAATCACACAAAGACAACTTCACAAACAATGTCTGATGTACACTGGGATTTTCCTCTACCGAGTTCCGGAATGCAACATCATAGATTCATATAGGTGTCCCGTCCCCCAACACATACCTTGCAAATTGGTACAGTGGTCTTTGAACACCAAAAACAAAACACCAACAAAAACTGAAATCCCATTCAATACTACACCAATCACTTCAACGTCCGACTACACTCACACACCAGTCAAATATACACTCCAATTCAACCATCACATACCAGCATCATGACGGAACCGACTCCATCGACTCGCACACATCTCACAAACACACGATGAGAAAGCATCAAAACACACACCTCGTATAATGTCTATTCCACAAATAAACACATCAACAATCGAAGCCAAAACCATCAGCATAAACACACTACATTGACGTTACAAAGTATTCAGTGAAGATAGTTGAGATAATACAAAAACACTCCACCGATCCCCCTCCACACAATGCTAAAAACACCAACCATCACAATCATTCGGATCACAATGTTTATAGCCGGTAGAACTTTCAAACATCATGTAGAAGAGCTGATCAAACTCCAAACACACAAAGAGAGGGATGAAAGAAACAGACACAGTGACTTCCCACGATCACAACGTCTGTCCATCCATCCACAATCTCAGTACGAACGATCAACACTAACACTCCTCACAAAAAAACCATTCACACTACACCTTCATTTGCCAAACACAACAAATGTTTGTCTTTCCACACACACACACACACACAATAACCCTACAGTCCCATCGAAAAATTAACAACCTTCACTAAAAAAACCCTCGAATGATAAACAACTGTCAGATTACTCACAGTCTCCGTCCTTACCAGACACAGACAAGTCGTGAGACATCTGTCACTCATTGTACGGTGTCCACTTGACCTCTTACTCGCATCACGAATACAGGCTCAGAGAACACCGAATTATTCTACTTCACAATCCACTCCAATAGTCAAATAAACAATTCACTCATATCAAGTATCACCATCTACTCAGTCATCACAACACTCTCTCAATTACAAACACAACTAATCCTCTCTTACCTCTCATCAATACACTCACTACATTTGCACAAATAACACACGTTATAACAATAAACAACTAGAATTCAGAACCCTCAACAACTCATATCTTGATGCCAATACTGGTAAACCACAATATACACATACACATATGCAGCAGCAGCAACAACAACAACAACTTAATTGATATATCCGTTCTGTACACCTGACACAGACATCATATTCTGTGTAGGGAAGAGGACGGAAACAACACTGTAGCAAGTTGACACTCTGCATCCTCGTACTCAACTCAGACACCTGTAGTGTCACACTTGCATCAATCAACACAAATACCAAAACACAATCAATCCAACTACTCAATTATCACAAATACACAATGTCAACATCAACACGCATACACACACACACACTCTCTATACACCTACTCAGTCACACATCCATCTAAACGAAACATCGTCATACCCATCTCTAAATAAACACATCATCCCGTTTGAATCACATTACACTCGACTGATCAGTCAGTCAAACAGACATTCAGTTACTCAGTCTGCTTCATTCAACACAACATCTGACACTAATCTCCTTCACTCCAAACTCCCAATCGTCATCACCACAGCTGCTTCAAATTAACAATACGAACAACAAAACAGTCACATTCCACTGACAACCCAACACACTCCACACACATCTCAAACAATACTCTACTTCCAAACAACCAGTCTCTCCTGTGTAAACACACAATCACTCGTCTCCTATTACACAAATACAAAGTCCTATCAAAATCACACAAAGACAACTTCACAAACAATGTCTGATGTACACTGGGATTTTCCTCTACCGAGTTCCGGAATGCAACATCATAGATTCATATAGGTGTCCCGTCCCCCAACACATACCTTGCAAATTGGTACAGTGGTCTTTGGACACCAAAAACAAAACACCAACAAAAACTGAAATCCCATTCAATACTACACCAATCACTTCAACGTCCGACTACACTCACACACCAGTCAAATATACACTCCAATTCAACCATCACATACCAGCATCATGACGGAACCGACTCCATCGACTCGCACACATCTCACAAACACACAATGAGAAAGCATCAAAACACACACCTCGTATAATGTCTATTCCACAAATAAACACATCAACAATCGAAGCCAAAACCATCAGCATAAACACACTACATTGACGTTACAAAGTATTCAGTGAAGATAGTTGAGATAATACAAAAACACTCCACCGATCCCCCTCCACACAATGCTAAAAACACCAACCATCACAATCATTCGGATCACAATGTTTATAGCCGGTAGAACTTTCAAACATCATGTAGAAGAGCTGATCAAACTCCAAACACACAAAGAGAGGGATGAAAGAAACAGACACAGTGACTTCCCACGATCACAACGTCTGTCCATCCATCCACAATCTCAGTACGAACGATCAACACTAACACTCCTCACAAAAAACCATTCACACTACACCTTCATTTGCCAAACACAACAAATGTTTGTCTTTCCACACACACACACACACACACACAATAACCCTACAGTCCCATCGAAAAATTAACAACCTTCACTAAAAAAACCCTCGAATGATAAACAACTGTCAGATTACTCACAGTCTCCGTCCTTACCAGACACAGACAAGTCGTGAGACATCTGTCACTCATTGTACGGTGTCCACTTGACCTCTTACTCGCATCACGAATACAGGCTCAGAGAACACCGAATTATTCTACTTCACAATCCACTCCAATAGTCAAATAAACAATTCACTCATATCAAGTATCACCATCTACTCAGTCATCACAACACTCTCTCAATTACAAACACAACTAATCCTCTCTTACCTCTCATCAATACACTCACTACATTTGCACAAATAACACACGTTATAACAATAAACAACTAGAATTCAGAACCCTCAACAACTCATATCTTGATGCCAATACTGGTAAACCACAATATGCACATACACATATGCAGCAGCAGCAACAACAACAACAACTTAATTGATATATCCGTTCTGTACACCTGACACAGACATCATATTCTGTGTAGGGAAGAGGACGGAAACAACACTGTAGCAAGTTGACACTCTGCATCCTCGTACTCAACTCAGACACCTGTAGTGTCACACTTGCATCAATCAACACAAATACCAAAACACAATCAATCCAACTACTCAATTATCACAAATACACAATGTCAACATCAACACGCATACACACACACACACTCTCTATACACCTACTCAGTCACACATCCATCTAAACGAAACATCGTCATACCCATCTCTAAATAAACACATCACCCCGTTTGAATCACATTACACTCGACTGATCAGTCAGTCAAACAGACATTCAGTTACTCAGTCTGCTTCATTCAACACAACATCTGACACTAATCTCCTTCACTCCAAACTCCCAATCGTCATCACCACAGCTGCTTCAAATTAACAATACGAACAACAAAACAGTCACATTCCACTGACAACCCAACACACTCCACACACATCTCAAACAATACTCTACTTCCAAACAACCAGTCTCTCCTGTGTAAACACACAATCACTCGTCTCCTATTACACAAATACAAAGTCCTATCAAAATCACACAAAGACAACTTCACAAACAATGTCTGATGTACACTGGGATTTTCCTCTACCGAGTTCCGGAATGCAACATCATAGATTCATATAGGTGTCCCGTCCCCCAACACATACCTTGCAAATTGGTACAGTGGTCTTTGAACACCAAAAACAAAACACCAACAAAAACTGAAATCCCATTCAATACTACACCAATCACTTCAACGTCCGACTACACTCACACACCAGTCAAATATACACTCCAATTCAACCATCACATACCAGCATCATGACGGAACCGACTCCATCGACTCGCACACATCTCACAAACACACAATGAGAAAGCATCAAAACACACACCTCGTATAATGTCTATTCCACAAATAAACACATCAACAATCGAAGCCAAAACCATCAGCATAAACACACTACATTGACGTTACAAAGTATTCAGTGAAGATAGTTGAGATAATACAAAAACACTCCACCGATCCCCCTCCACACAATGCTAAAAACACCAACCATCACAATCATTCGGATCACAATGTTTA